CCACCTCCCCAAGAGATTCTTACCACCTCTTGTCTATCTAGTGACATCTTTTTGCATGTTACCACTCATTTATGGGCATCAAACAAATGCTAAGCATGATAGAAGAGATGGTAAAGCTGAGGCGAGGAGGGGGGGGGGTTGCAGTGAGTTGTAATGTATGTACAACTTTTGCATATACACAGTTTTTAAGGAGCCACGATATTGATGCCTTTGGAGTCAGCCAGAGGCACCGGTTTTAAGTTGGACAACAAGGATGTAGTCCTTTGACTTTATTGGGAAATGTTTTATGTGTCTGGGGATAGAATGTTCCTGGCCTCGCTCCATACAGCAGCATAAAAAGTTTATTTGGACAGACATTGAAGTCAGACTTTGAACAGACCACGTAAATATCATGCTGTTGCATCAAATAAAGGGGAACTAAAGATGCCATGCCTCCCTGGCTGAGATGCTCTCCCTGTGGATGCAGTGTAGATCTCATGCAGTGGTCAAAGCTGAATCTCCTTCACACCATGTTAGAGAAATAGGCAGCTGTCAGCTGGGTATAGTGAGGATTAAGGGGGTCTCTTGGATTGGGTCTTGGAAGTTGCAGATTACTTGTGGTTTTCTGTCCTTTTTTTCCCCACCTGTATCTTCAGAACTCTTAAACTCTACTGTCCTGGATTTTGTAAAAATTAATTTTATTTGCTTTTTACCTTACCTTGTCTTGAATTTAGGGTTCTTTTTCCACAACTGGCCAATTTGAGATAATTCTGTTTCTATGGAGCTGGCAGTACTTAAAACCATGTTACTGGAGCATCCTCATGGTTCCATTGGGGCACCCAGAAGTTAAGGGTGTGTTTTTGTGGAGGCAGCTGAGCAGAGACATACAAGGTCATGCAAGGGCACCTATGGAAAAGGGACCTTCTGATGGTCAGTATCAGGCAGGATCCTTGGAAGCAGCAGATCAAAGTACCTGAATTCTGTAGATCCAAGAGAGTACGGGGCTGTAGTTTGTGGCACTGTTTCCAAAACTCTTCCTCTTTGCAATATTTTTTCATTTTAAATTATCTTTGCATAAGTTAATTTAAAAGATCAACCTTGAATTCACAGTGAATAAGGAACAAAATTAGAGCAAGGGATTTGACTTAAAGGAGACAGTAGTTTACACTTAACCCCTGATAAACTACAGTTCTGTGCTATTATGTGGTGCACAACTCCGAGGTATTTTAAGACTATTTAGGACTAGCTAGAGTATCAAAACATGCCAAATCTGTACCTGTACACTTTTTTCAGTTGTTACACACTTTGCATGAACTGTTTGGTTCTGCTTTGGGTTGAGCTGTTTGTTCCTGC